GTACATAACTCGTAACCAACTCCATAAAGTCGTACCTCACTCGTAGCTATCACGTAATAAGCTCGTATAGGTCCTTTCCAAAGATCACGAGTTTTAACTCGTAGAAATCGTACGACTCTTAGGTGAACTAAACCTAGGTGGGAGAGGGGTTTAGCTCTTAGTGAGCCTTAACGAAGGTTAAGCAAATACTCCATATTGGTTTTCTGAAAAGGTTAACTTATCTCATCGATTTAATAGTACATTACAGAGGTAAGAAAACCAACGACATGAAAACTAAAAACAATGATAAACAGCGAATAGGATGGAGAGGAGACAAGCCAGCACCTATGTAAACATCACACGTTAATATATTTGAATACTGTTATTAAAATGTTTTGCAATACCATAAGATACACAATTAAGTGTGTCCCTCTTATAAAATACTGTACATTGAAGAAAAAGCTACAAAAAAAAATGCAAATATTAGAAAAGTGAAAACAATAGCAGAATTATAAACTGTAGGCTTCAACAGGAAGGACAGAAAATATTTTGAAAATTACAAATAGACAAACATCAGAAGGAATATTACTAATAGTAAGTAATAATACTACTAACACAATAGACTTCTAGAATTTAGAGTTTCGAAAGAAATAGTTTATCAATAAAGTAATATTATATAATGTTCACGGACCATTATGAAAGAAAGTCTGGATTGGGGAGCACAAAGAGAAATATAGACGGATGGCAGTTTAGCAGTTTATTCACTTGTAAGTATAATATCTATGGATACCGAATAAGCCAATCCGTAGATGGAACTGTAAATGCTCGTATCAAAGTGAATCGACTTCAACACCATACACAACATACCGGTAGGTATATGTCGATTGACATCTATTGAACTTTAATAGGGCAGGCGCAGCTGCAACTACCAATTAGCATCTTTTATTGGTTTACGGTTGTCTCGCCCTCTACCAGGATGCTTAGTGTTCGATGGTGTTTGTTCCAGCGACCGGGTAAGTAGTAATGCGAAAAGCATAGAGTCTTTATCTTTGGAATGATGCGCTATTAATTAATGTTTTTTGTGATTAACCACTGCAATGGGTCGGACAGTTAAGGGAAGTTATCACTGTTATTTTCACTAAAATGAGAGAACCTATCAGCTAAATTTGATTGACACAAACACAGTACTAATCTTTATACCTGAAGATAAACAAATAAAGTTCAAAATACTGAATCACAATGACATTATAACTATATTTTATTATACACAATCATCGTCCCGCGACATTACTTGACGACCCTATCTTTGGGTTGCCACTCATAGTTTGAATATCAGGATACAATATGTATTTATATACGGTTGCTGATTGGCCAATGCTTTCTCATGACGTTAATTCCGTGGTGTATAAGAAACAAAAAATTTAGATCACCCATCAAAGAGTATTGTATATCTACGAGTTAATCTATTCTCTTTGAGAATTTAGTAAAAATTACACTATGGGCAATACGTGGAGTACAGATTCGGGGACTACGAATTCGGGGACTACGAATTCGGGGAGTACGGATTCGGGGACTACAAATTCTGAAAGTATTCTTCGGCAATATTCTTCTAGAGACACAACATGTTCGGACAATAAAGGTTCAAACACATCAACTAACTAGGTAGGGTAAGCAGACAGTAATTATATGTTCATATGTTGACTTTGCGAGACATTATGCACGGACAGTAGTCAATATATCAGACTTTAACAAAAGTAAAATAATAATAAATAGTAGTTATTTGAAAGTTAAATGAATATATGATTTTTTTTATTAGCAAGCTATCTATTGTTTGAACATTATTCGTATCATGAAAATAATCTAATTTATTATAAAATATTAAAGGCGGCTATGAATAATTAGATTATTGGAAAAAGAAAAGTAAAATTTATTTGTAGTATGTATGATTAATCAATAAAAAGGAGATCATGTTCATTCTTTTATTTATTCTTTTATTAAAAAAAATACATATTGGATACTTAATTGAGTATGCACACACAATGTGAAAATACAAAAAAGAATACATCATAAAGTATAACATAAATGAAAATGATATTAAACACATAAAATATACATACGATATAAAATTAAAAAGAGAAATTATCGTCCCATTTTGTATTGTTTTTATCAATACCTACAAAAACATGTTTCGCACTTGAAAAAGAACTTAACAAAAACGAAAGAATTAAATGGACTTTGCTGGTCCATATGATATAAGTGCGTGACCTGTGACGTAGCTAGAGTTTATGCTATATTAGATTTTATTTTAAAACCAGATTAATTCTCAACAGCATTACTAAAATTATGATGATAAAATAATTACAATTATATTGGTAATATTAATAATAATAATAAATTGTATTTATTTCTTTTTATTTTAAATAGTACACAACATAAGCTGTTGAATAATAGTATTTTTGATGGTAGTTAGTGATATTGAATTATTAAAATATATCTAAACGTTTTGCGTTAGTATTTGATTTTCTATGAAATATAATATGGGAACTGTCGTTTGTACTGACTTGATACTACTTAGAAAAAAGTCTCTTTTCATCAAAAAAACTTTACTAGCATACGATTCATAAAGTATGGCATCAATATCCCCAAAAACATACGGCAATAATTAAATAAATATTATTTTAAATATACATTACAAAATTAAAAAAAAGACATTAATTCACATTGAAGTCCATCCTCTCTTCAATACAGAACAAAGATTGACCTGGCGAGGGTCCAATGTCCGTGGTTTGATGGCGCTCAAAATATCTCGGAAGTGGACCAGGTGCCGAGGCCCCGGAAACTATAAGGCTTGATTATGTAATCGATCTTGGAATTTACTATGTAAAAATATATTTTGTATGCCAATTAACAGTTACTACAAAATGGCCATTAAACATTTCAAAGGATTGCTTTCTCAATGTGTGCTAGCAGCAGCCTAAAATGTTTTCCATTTTTTTTTTTTTGCGAAGAAATATAATTAATGATATTGGAAGTAATGGTAATGGTCGAATATTTGTAGAGTACTTTCCACAATAAAATATCGACCCAATGCGCTGTCAATTTCCGACCACGAATCATATTGAATTATCCATCATGCTTATTGGCCAATTACTTTTCTATACGTGATATATAAAGTACAAAAACCAGGATCACGCATCAAAGAGTACATTATATTTACTAGCTGATATACGATCTTTTAGTATCTAGTAAAATTACATCATGGGATCATTGTTGAGTATATTTTGGGGGAGTAGTCAACCATCGAATAATACAGACGGTTCAGAAAAATCTGAAAATATTCTTCGAAAAGAAAAGTCCACTAAAAAACTTTCAAAATCCAGAGGACCAAACGTACCACCTAACTAGGTAAGGTTAAACAACAGTTGTCTATTAATATGTTGAGTTATACGAGATACAATAAACGAATACAATGATACAAGAACTGGCTTTAAGAAATATGATATTAGCAAAGTAATATTTGAAAATTAAATGAAACAAATGACTTCAGCAAACTAGCTATCATTGGAATGTTAAATTTAATATGAAAATCATCTAATATAATATTCTGCTTAAACTTTAAAGTGACTTAAATAAGTATAATTAGCCAATAGAGAGGTTTCGAATCTATCTGGGAAAAGATAGAAAATATTCATTTTTTTGTCATACAGTAATAGAAAGGTAGATTACGTCATAATCTATTACTAGTACTTAAGTTAAACAGTACACCCCCCTCCCCACATTTGACAGACTTGAAAGCCAAAAAATGTAAAATGTATTCTCTTAAATGATTTCCACCCACCAAAAGAAGAAACAAAACTCCTGACTATCCAACATCTGCATAAATGTTTCCAGCAAAAATGCACTTTTTAAGGATGGGGAGAGGTCCGAAGGTCGGCGACCCTCCCCCCTTTGGATCCGCATCAGGAGTATCATAATGATTATATAATCATTCTAAACAAGGAGAGTCAGTCAATTGTATGAGAAAAAGTTCCTGGGGTTAGATCTGCGCGTATACCATATGTCTCCGTGGTCTAATGGGATGCTACTCGTCTTGAAAGTGGGAGGTTTTGCACGTTTGAATCCAACCATTAAGAAACTTTTCGTTGATATGCTTGATAGTTTTATCGAATCAAATCAACATTTATTCACT